TATCCTATCAATATGGGCCAACATTTCTAAAGAATGCTTTCAGCACCTTGTTGAATCAATGCCACGTAGAATTAAGGCAGTTCTGAAGGCGAAAGGGAGTCAAACACCGTATTAGTATGGTGTTCCTAATAATCCTTTAGGTGAGTGTATACCGTAATAATAAACATAACTACATAAGTACTGTACTGTACGCCGAGCCAACGAATCACTGAAGCTGCGCGATGTTTTCAGGAGCGTCACTAAGTAGTGAGTGCATTATGAAGCACTGTATCTAACCAGAATTTTTTATTTATAATAGGCTTTATGGCAGTCCGCTCATAAGTATGAGTTGTCTGTAAGTTAAGAGGTTCTTAACCTGCCTGCACTGAATGGGTGCTAAAAAGGAAAATGACATTGATTCTGTGGCTGCAGTGTTCTGAGCGCTTAGGAAGTCTGTGGTAGGGAAATGGGTATTTGGTTATCAGAAAAAGCTCATAGTTTACTAATCTGTGTCTCTTGTTCAGCTATGTTGGTGAGATGTGGGTGACTGCAGAAACGAGACACATAACTGTGCCAGATGGGGCAACTTTATACGGATGACATCAGCTTGGCTCCCAGGATACACTAGAGGGGCTATAATCCCCAGCTTGCTTGGGAATGTGGCCCCCACCCCCCAAGAATGAGCTGGAATGTGTGCCCAAAGAAAGAGATGTCTGTATCGACCTGCTGTACATGATTGCATGTAACCCATGTAAGATGAACAAAAAAATCATCCCTACTTAATTCCATTTAAATACTAGAAAGGTTTCAGTATTTGAATTTAAAATCTTTATACGCTTCCCTTCTCAGCACGATATCCTCAAGGCAGTTTATGTGTTTACCTTGAATATACATCCTGTTTTTATTGCTATGAGTCATGGGCTGCAGTGCTGAAGAACAATCACCGGCTTAGAGACAGCACAACGTACATGCCAGCCAACAAAAATCCATCTGAATTAAACAATTATTGTTGGAAAATGGATGCTTATTCATTCTACCGCTATACAATTACCTGCTGAAAATAAGTTTTTATTGATTATGCCTTTCACAAAATAATGTCTTGTGCATTTCTTTCTGATGATGACAGTAAACATCAAAATGTGGATGATTTTAGTAAGACATTTAACTTTTAAACAGTGAATTGTTTTATGGTGAAAAAAAAACACACATGGCTACATTTGCAGATGTACTTCATGTTCTTAACATGACTTGACAAAGTCAAATTATCTCTGTATCAATGAAGCTAATTTTGTAAGTGTATAGGAACAGCACATTTTTACATTACGCTAAAACATGTAGACCTAATCAAAAAAACGTAAACATGTAATTGCCAATGTATAGGGAAAAAAATCCCTAAATGAGATGATCAACATAAGAAATTTACAAACGAGAGGGGGCCAATAGTACTGCTTCAGAATAGAATATAGAAAAAATTACAAACAACGATGTAAATAAAATTCTATTGTGGATGACATCTACTAGATATGAATTATTGCAGTCTGGTGATCTAGCCATTAGATGGTAGGGATTGAGAGTGGGCCAGTGCAAACAACTGGTAATATACTGGATCTTACCAACACATGGATCTATTCTCTATACTCTAATTCTTGCTGGCTGTTGCCATGTTCAGAGTTTGGAGAGGGGGGGGGCAGGTCAGGTTTTCTCAAACTTCCTGAGGCCTCACATGACAGCAAATAAAGCACCAGCATGCATTTGACCTGAGTCAAAATTACAATGAATAGGCAAGACCAGCATTTCACATGTTCTATGGTGGCACTTTGCACCTTTGCATAATTGGTTTGTTAGTACCCTGTAGGTAGACAAAGTGATAGGTTATGTTTGCATCACATATGTGTCTCAACACATAAGGTAAGCAAGATGCAGTGTTCTTGCCCCCCCCATCAAACAATTGCAGTGCAACTGGGAAGCAGAAGAAAAAGGAGGAATCCTTGTTGAGGGGTTTGGTCTTTCTGTTAGGTTGTATGGAACAGATTTAGTACAGAATCTCCCTAGAGAAGTTACCTAGCCCTAAAACACAGAAAACCTGTGCCAAGGTATTGGATGGTGCCCAGTGAACCAAGGATTCAAGGGAAATGATTTGGAAGCTGTGTAACAGCAGAAGCAAAGCAGCAACACCAAAACAATTAGAAAAGATTTACGAATAGCATTATAATTTAATACGATACAAAATAACAGCATCATAAAAAAAAAACGTTTTTGGCTGTGTGTACAGTATGTGTATGTGCCCGGCAATTGCCTGGCGTTCTGTCCAGGGTGCATTCCTACATCGTGCCGTGTGCCAGCTGAATATGCTTCAGGCCTCCCACTCTGACCACCATGAGCAGTTGGAAGACGGATGGATCGCTCATTTATAACAGTGGTATATATACACACAGGAAACAATCTCTGTGGTAGTTGTAGGAGAAAATAAATATCTGGGATTCGAAGACAAATTACCCAACTGACAACTACAGTACAGGTGAAAAGTCTGAACAGACCTGCTTTTAAGTGCTTTTGTCTCCATTTTATATGTTATTCGCCTTAAAGTAAAAGACTTCAAAACAGCCCCTTTTTGCTTCGATGATATTCAATGGCATTGCAGACTCTTGGCATTCTTTCAACCAGCTTCCAGATGTAGCCTCCTGGAATGCTTCTCCAACAGTCCTGAAGGAGTTTACACAGGTTACGGGCACAAGTTGGCTTCCTTGCTCTTACTCTTTGATCCAACTCATCCCAAACCAGCTCTATAGGGTTTAGGTCGGGGGGGATTGTGGGGGCCAGGTCATCTGTCACAGCACTCCATCTCTTTCCTGTTTCACAGGATAATACTTACTACATAACCTCGAGCTGTGCTTAGGGTCGGTTTCTTGTTGAAAAACAATTTTCGATAGGTGTGTTCAGACTTTCCATTGTTACTGTATCTGATGTGCTAATTACATGTATTGCGTGATTATCTAATTATATCGACTCATTTGCATGTTGATGAAACACTGCACAATCATGGATGAATGATTAAAAGTTTGTTTGCTCGTATCAAAATCCAATCTGTGTATTAAAATGACTTAGTAGTTCCAACTTTCTCCTGCTGACCTCTTTTATTTAATGAATTTCAAATAAGATTGACCAATAGAGTCGCAGGATCTACAAATTCAGTATAGTTGCAGGAATTTCAGATATTATACTTAACTTTTGTGAACGAATGATATTATGATGATATTTCACCCAGTTTTCTCCCGGTTTATTTTGCATTTTAAAATAGCTAGTCATACTTTTCTGTGTGTGAGTGCGTGCCCTGTGATGCAGTGTCATACCATCTAAGGTGGCTCCTGCCTGCTGTCTTATGCTCCACAGGGCAGGTTCTAGGCTCAACATGACCCAGCACTACAACAGTGCTTATGAATCATGGATGGATTTGTAAAATTTAATTTAAGAAGACTGTTAGAGACTGTGGGCTTTCTGTAGGGAAGTTAAGGTCAATGTTATTTTATTAATTAAGTAGACTATAGATACTTTCATAATGCCTCATAATGGTCGGTATAAGAATTAAGGATGCTTTGTACATAATTGAGGAGGTATCCATAGTGCATTATAGAGGAGAGCTTCATAAGGCAGTAATAGTGAATAATAAACATGCCAATAATGCTTTATGAATGCATTATGATGTGTTATGAATGTACTCATATAGACATGGCATTCATAGATAGTGTTACTGACATTTCTTTTTTGGACATGATGCTGTAATAATGATGTCATAATCTGAAACTCAGTTTTTCCTTTTCTTCCTCAGGATGATTCCCGCTTCACATAAGCTCTTCCTGCTGAGCGACCTGGCGTCCGCGCGGGACTATAATCTGTGCGTGCTGGCTGTGTACGACGACGGAATCACCGCCCTGACAGCCACCCGTCTCGTTGGCTGTGCGGCCTTCACCACAGAACAGGAGTATCGCCAGTGCCGTTCCATCCACGACCAGTTCCTGGGGGGCACCATGATTATAATCATCGGTGGCATCATCGTGGCCTCCGTGTTGGTCTTCATCTTCATCCTCCTCATGAAGTACAAGCTCCACAGCAATCACCACAAACAGAAGGCGGCCAAAGTAAGCAATGTGTGCTTACAGACCAATGGGAGCCGCGCTGGGGGGTTCCCACCCTCGTCATCTTCTGCAAGTTCAGCTACCAAGACCCCTGCAAGAACGACCAGCTCCAGCAGTGAGAGGGTGCCACACGACCCCCTGCAGACAAAAGAGGACTATGACTGCCCTGTTAAAGGGACTACAGTGGTGGATATGAACCTAGATTACAAGACAGCCGCTGCAGATGACACTGTCTCACAATAGCACAGGGACTGACCACTTCCTATCTCCTGGTGCTCAGGTTCACTTGCCTTACAGAGGATTTTATCTTGTTCAAGGTGAGCTTGGTACAAACGTGCACCTATAACATCTGTGGTCATGCGGATTAACAGGACTGTTTTCACTGACTAATCGGTGTGAATTCACACAATTATCAGTAAGGTAGCTGTGCTAAATAAGTGCCTTATTTGAATATCAAAGACCCTACAATATTTAGGATGGTGGAAGCAGTGCTGCCGGTCAGATTATGAGGTGGTAAGGTGGTGGTGTTCTGACTTTTGCTTGTTTTTGAGTTACCAAATTGAACCAGGATTCTTTTTCACATTGTTTGTGAATTGAACAGTCTATTCGAGTCTGTCAGGTTTTATCAAAATTGTGATTCTCATAACCCATGGCCATGGATGTGTCTTGAATGATGTAAGGCAAATCAGAGCTGTTCCAGTTTCTTTATGGCATATTCTTCATAAAATGCTGACCACTGTTTTTTTTTTCATAAAACTATAAAATAATTGTCAGAGCCTTTACTCTTAAGATACTTGTTTATTAATATGAGAGATATTGTGAAATGTTAAACAGGTTGGACACATAATAGATTAAAACCAATATAAATATATTTCTCTTGCCATTATCTTATTCGTTGATCAGTGTCTGTGTAATGATTTTACTGCACTGAAATGAGTCACATGCAGAGTGGGCTAAAGTAAATAATCTCTTGCCGTACTCGACTCACGCCCAAAATACACACGTTAAAGTCTGAGTTTCTATTGTTTATTTGATGTAGATGCTGTTAAGTCCTGTCAGGTCTAAAACTTTGGAAAATTTGTAATAAGATGATGAAAGAGGCAAACGGACAGGCTTGCTATTAGAGATGGTCAAAGAATGGATTGTCTGGTACATACTTTACAAGAGACAAGCAGAGTAATTTCAGTACTTTGAAAGTGAGCTATAACCTCTCTCAACTGCCAGAACTGGGTAAAAGCCAGGAAGACATCACTGCAGTTCTTTGTAATTGGAGAGAATTTGTATGTACTTTCAAAGATATGGTTTGCATTTATGTAAATAAAATATAGTCAAATTTCAATGTAGTTAAGAGCACAGTTTAATTGCATGAGACCCTCTTTTATTTTTAATTTTTGTAAGAATATAAGAATTGTAAGACTGATTTACAATTACAGATGTCTAATTTTTAACTGTGTCTTTGTTCGGTTCCTGGCCTTCAAAATATGTGCTAGACTTGAGTATATGTCATGTATTCCTGATAAGAACATAAGCCCGGTCTAACTTGCAGCTGAAACTGTAAGTAAATTATAAATGGTGAGTCTCTCCTTCGTGCATGGAGAACGGTGGCTCTTGTAAACACTGTAAACCACGGGTAATGTACACCATTACACAAGAAAGACTATCCTAGGACTGCTTTCTAACAAAAATGATTAAACTTGAAAAAAGGAGGATGATATTTACAGTAAAGTGAATGTTATACCTTATTCTAAATTGTGCTGAATGGTGTAAAAAACATTCAAAACATATTTCAAAATGTGACATCAACAGTACAGATGCTTCACAGCATTTACCTGTAACGTGGATATACATTTTAAAATTTGAGAATAAGTTCTGTTCCATGTTTTGTCATGTTTACATTTTTTAGTGCTATTTTGGATAGACAAAATTAATAACATCCAGATATTTTTATGATTGAGTATTTCCTCTTAAATGAATAAGATATAATTCTGGTATATATATATATGTATATCTATATCTTTTTTGGATATGCTGTTTGATTTGGGAACATAAACAGGTAAAGAATGTTTCACAAGTCAAAGTAACCTGCAAATCACCCTGATATAAATGCAGAATAAACTCTTACTGTGCTTTTGTCTTTTGGAGATGATATACGCCCCTTTGCAATAGAAGGTTCTTCCTTTTATTAGTAGGCATTGTCTTCTATTATACGAGTAATCATATTTGTTACATTAATTTGTTCCATTTGAATTTATATAAAGTATGATTACCTTAATGAGGATAAAATTAACTGAGGTCAGTTCTATCAGTCAACAAATGATAATTAAATTTAAAAAAACAGAACCTCCATTAGAACATCCTGAAATACTTCCTGTTACTCAGGGCAATAAGGAAACAACAACAGTCTTTACTCCCAAAGTAAGAAGAGAGCATTAAGAAATTTCTGATCAGCTGACACCAATCTTTTTTCCCTCAATTATATTTTGATATTGCATGCACCTAGTATGCCCCATAACTCATAAAATACTTTCCTTACAGTTTGGGGGGGGCAGACTCATGCTTATTTTAATTTTTGTACAAAAAAAATAAAGGAATACATCTGTTTGTTTCTGTAGGAAAATAATCCTAAATATAGGGCATTGCAACATTTTAGTCGCTCAAGATTAAGCTGAAGATTGTCAACCTCACTTTGGGTCAGCGGCTTGTCGTAAAAATGTTGTCCCAAGCTAATATTATTGTATGGGTTCTGAATATTTACAAACGACAAAAATATGCAAACATATTTCACTTTTTGATGTTGTTTCTGAGATTATATAATTATATAATGTTATGATTATATAATTTATAATCATAGCAGCACTTAAGTATAATTTATGTCAACTCTTCATTTCCAGTATTTGCAAAATCCATAAACTTGCATAAATTATCTTTAGAATTTTTGCTGTTTTATTTAATGTCAACAGAGTAATGATATTTAACAAGAGCGATTTCATAGCTTGTGGATTCTGAAAAGAGCAGGGTTATGATCTAATACATTTTTAAATGTAGCAGTGTAACATGTATCATATACTAAATACTTGCAGATATTTGTATCTGAAGCGAATAAGACCAGAAAGCTGGACACGTGCACATTGGGATAAAAGGACAGAAAGATATGAGATAGTACAAGCATCCATCCATCCGTCCTATATGGTGGTGCAGTAGTTAGCACTGTTGCCTTACACCCTTGGGACCAGGGTTCCACATCGTGGAGTTTGCATGTTCTCCGCATGTTATTGTGGGGCTTCCTCTGGCTACTCCAGTTTCCCCCCCTTGTCAAAAAACACACTAAGGTGGACTGGAGTTACCAAATTGCCCATAGGTGTGAATGGTGTGTGTTGCCCTCCCAATTTTGAGTTGTTCCCTGCCTTGCACCCATAGACTCCAGACCCTGAATATGACAAGCTGCTTCAGAAAATGGATGGGCTTATCCTATGCAGATAATGTGCAATATACAATATGCACAAGTGGTTTGGCAATTTTTTTCGAATTCTGTTTAAAAGACAAAACAAAAACTAGCTGCGGGATTCAATCAGGAGAAGCATGCAGTTATGCCGATGAGACAATGTTTCCTGATAATCGGTTTACAGTGGGAGTATTACTGCTGCAGTGACACTAGCCGGGGCAGGTATTGCTAACTTGGTGCTTGTGTAGGCTAACGGGTTGATTGGTGGGATACCGTACTGGTAAAATTTAGTTATTGATGTAAACCAAGCCGAGAAACCAGTCATGGCCATTTCAAATTCACGTTTGTAATATAGTACAGTGAAGTATAAGAACCCTGGAAGAAATTTTATACATGACCTTGCACATGATCTCTGTTAGACACTAAGCAGAAATAACATCATTGGCAGAATCCACCCTATAGGATATATATTTTTACAAAATCCAAATCAGAATCAGGATACTATACCAGTCTAAGCAAAGAATTAAACGCTGCTCTTATGCAAAAGCAGAATTCCGTGATGTAGCCTGAAACAGAGCCAGGAACATAATCTCATTTTAAAAAATAAATGCTGGAAAATAAATCTGCAAATGAATCTGTACCGGTAAAGGATTGTTGGATGAATAGAACTGAATAACATATTAAGAGAAATTGTGGAAACATTTATAATACATAGATCTCTATAAATTAAGAATATTTATTAGATCTCTTTAAAAAATAATTAAAACTCTTTAAAATCCCATGAAAAACCTTCATAATTTGTTTCAAGATTTGTTCTATGGTCTTCAGACATATGGTCTTAACAAGCTTTAGACCTGAAGCTCATTGCCCAAGCATCACAAGCAGAATGGATTATATGACATAAAATTTCAGTTTCCTCAAACAGATATAAAATCTATGTTCAAACAGATGTAGAACGGCCCAAGATTCTGATTTACCATAACAAATGTAGTTATGATGCAAACTAAATCTTGTTTTAATGATATATAATGCTCCCCTAATGGTTGGTCTGTAATCCCAAAGTTTCTCTGTCATTCAAAGCGTTCATTGCTGTTTATATTTTATAGGTTTTATTTTCCCTGCAACCATGACCAGGATTAGCAGTTAGAAGTTGCATGGATATATTTTATTTCCATTATTTGAATTCTTCATGTAATTCTGTTCACTGTCATTGAAACGATTGGTACTGTGCTTTGTTTATGAATAATGGGAAGAAAAAGTATGACATACTTCCACCTTAACATGATACAAAGATCAAGAAACAAGGACAAGATTAATAAGAGCCAAACAAAACTCTGATCCTACAAGGTTTCCATAAGTAGACAGCACCTATAAAACATATCTTTTTCAGTTTTATGGTGAACTGCTCCATTAAATTAACTTTTCTTCTAGATAGCTGGTAGCTGACAGAAGAGTAAAGGTGGACTGGTCTACCATATCAGCGTGCGCAACACTAATGTACCATTTCTGCGTGCGTAACGCTAATGTACCATTTCAGCGTGCGTAACGCTAATGTACCATTTCAGCATGCGTAACACTAATGTGCCATTTCAGTGCGCATAACACTAATCTACCATATCAGCGTGCGTAACAGTAATCTACCATATCAGCGTGCATAACACTAATGTACCATATCAGCATGTGTACCACTAATTTACCATTTCAGTAATTATTATTAGTTGCAAAGTGGGAAAAAAATTTCTGGTCAGATGAGACGTAATGTGGATGTGCTGTCTAACACTGTCCACACCTCAAAAACAACAGTGATGTATCTTGTTGAAATATAAGGAAGAAGGCAAGAAGAACCTGTTTTTCTGCTAAAAAAAAAACAGAAGTTTATCTTTTGCCTGGAAAATGATCCCAAACAGAAGGTCAGAAGAACATTTGGAAGAATGTGCAAAGCTGGTTCATACCAAAAACTTGTTTCTTTGTGTTATCGCATGCCTTCATTTTGATACCTGAGTGTTTTATGCCAAAAAAAAATGAAAGCTGCCATTGTTACATAAGTAAACAGCTTTAAAGTTTTTCACATATTATTTTCTATTATAGAAAACAATGTTTCACTAAAATTTTCTAGTTATTGTCAGATTAAATAAAAATATCAGAGAACTATATTTCAATAATGGAGACTCAGACATATTTCTGTTTTTCATATATATACATACACACTGTATGTGTGTGTGTGTGTGTGTGTGTAGCTGCAGACCAGTCAGAGTGTCCATGCTAACCCCTGTCCACTGCTGAAAGCACCTACAATGGGCAGACTGGGAAATGGACCTTTAATCAGTGGAAGGTTTTCTGGTCCAATGAATCCCATGCATGATGTGGAGAACCAGGTACTGTACATGTTAATCATATGTGGGATGCGGTGAAACAACAAGTCTAATCTGCAGCTACGCAGCCCCTTACACAACAGGGCTTGATGTACTGGCTCTTGTGACACATTACTTCATTACCATCATTAAAATGATCTGTGATTTATGCCCTAATAGCCCTTCTGTTGGTTAGTAACAGACGGAATACCCTTTGTTCACATCTTGCAATGATAAGTCTTGGCCACTGAGTACCCAGTTGGCAGTTCGTGGTTTTTATTTCTTCTCGTATCTGTCAGTAAGAACTCACCACAGCTGACCATGAGCACCCCCACAAGCCCTGCCGTCTTGGAGATGCTCTGACCCAGTCATCTGGCTATAAAGTTTTGGTCCTTACCAGAGTCACTCATGTCTTCTACATTAACTATGAGTAGCTTGTTATGTTAGCTTACCATTTAACATACTGTATCCCAGATCTGTGCTGTTTATACAAGATAGTCAACATTATTTGTTTCACGTGGGGTGGTTGTACAGTATATTATATGATATATAAAAAGCTTAAATTCCCAATTCCCAGATGATGACACAAATTCAGGACCTAATAAATTTTTACCATGGTTACTCTTTTACAGTCAGTCAGAGATGTTTTCCTTTT